AGATCGCATGAAATAGTTTACAAATCATCTGCATCACATACATCATTGTTTATTGTATAACTGTTGTGCTCCTTTACTTGTCTCTACGTACTAGAAAATACCAGAAATATCGGAAAACATCCTGTGGCTTGTCTTCGCCTAGCGTCCATGCCCGTTTCGGTACTAGCTATATCCGGTGTCAGTCCTACACAGTGATAATGAACAACAGAAATCCTATCCAAACTTCAGCTTATATTTGTTTTTAGCAACAGACACTAATTCTCAAATAGATAAACAGTGACATAACATCTAAGATTTCAAAATGTCATGTATATGACATCACAGTCATCTGTTTCCACCCTGGTAATACAGATATGTAGCAATGATCATAAGAAACTGTCCACTGATGTGTGATCCCATTTTTATACGCCGGTCAAATTTGACGGGAGTATTATTGTTCGACCGGCATTGACCGTCTCCTCCTACATTTATTTACCGATCTCTTTGAAACTTGGTATACATTAATTTATAATCATGATAGCAAGTTGTGTTTCCCTTAAAAGAATTTTGATTTGAATATTTTTGCAAATTGTTATTGACCTTTGTTTATTTCAGTATTTGATTTTTTGTCTGGAGATCTCCTCCTACAATTTTTGATTGATTTCTTCGAAACTTGTTAGGCTTTATTATCATGACATGTTGTTGTGTTTCCCTGAAAAGAATTTTGATTTGACAATTTTTACAAAAGTTATTGAATTTTGTTTATTTCAGTATTTGATTTTTATCCGGCGATCTCCTCCTACATTTTTCGACCGATTTCTTTGAAACTTGGAAATTGTTATAGCCATGATATATTGTTATGTTTCTTGGAACAAAAATTTGATTCGACTATTTTTGCAGAAGTTGTTGCCCTTTGTTTATTTCTAGTACTTGAATCTTGTCCGGAGATCTACAGTTTTCTATCGATTTCTTCTAAACTTGGTAGGCTTCATAATCATGATATCAAGTTGTGTTAATATAATGAGTTGGAGACTAATCTTTTGATTACTTGTTTTCCTCAAACTTTAGAAAATTAAAGAAAATCGGAAGTTGACTTTGTAGTAAAAGGTGAGATTTATAGCATGCTATATATAGCTAGCTATAGCCACTCTTAGGTGATGCAAATCTTATTTTAATGCAAGTTAATATATACATGTAACACTATATGACATTCGACTGGTGTATATTGTTCCGCCCTACGCTACTCTTGTTAATTCACCTGATCAGAAGGTAAATTTTGTCCATTTCTTTTTCTTTGCCTTTATAGCAGCATTATACCAGACAAATTTTGCAAAAGGAAACGCCCTTGACCTTTATTCAAGGTCAAAGGGGTCAAATTTGTTAAAACACTCAAAAAATGTCTTCAATGTCATGTTGAATAGCTGTTTTACCCGTGTTTAAACAGAGTTATTGCCCTCTACACTTCATTCCATCTGTGACACCCCTTCAGGTGTCGCCCCACTAGTATGTTTAGAACGATGTTACTCTGTTGCTTTATATTTGATGGCAATGGTATCCTTTTAACTTTTGAGAGAGTTTCTTGTTTGTGGTTTACCAGCCGCTTTGTCAGTATCGTTTCATAAAACCTACATACGTGCTAGTATCCGTTCTGTGGTTTTTCCTAATAGGCGATTAAATTAGTCCTGTAGCGTGACGTGGTCGTGTCGAACGCTCGCATACCTAACGATTTGTGTGTTTGTGCATAACCCCTACAGTGTCACTCGATAAACGATCGCTTAACTAAATGGTACGCACAGTTGTGCATACATGTGTAGTTCACATTTCCTCTATTGTCAACATATAAGTCCGCATGCGCTTTACCGGTCATTTTTGCCCGGTACACTTGTATGTTGCAAACCCAAGCAACTTTAAGCTAAAAGGAATGATTTCTATTTGTAATTTACATGTTTTACATAAAATAAGGCGTTTTCTAGAGAAAACAATTAAGGCTTTAAGTGACATAAGATAAATGCAGTGCTATGATTCTGTGGTATTATATATTTACATGTTGTATACACAATCTGTACTCACTTTGCTATGTAATTGAAATGTATTAAAATGTTGACCTCTTGTAACACACCTCGTGTGTCATGAGTGTAAAATAAAACCTGAAGCAATCATATATATTTAACAAACAGAGGATTTGTTTTGAGATATGGCGAAATATTTAATATTGAAGGTGAGTAATATAAGCATACATATGAAACGTGCGGGGATTTTTAGTAGCAACTGATTCAAATAACTGACGATTTTGAGTAGTAACTTTTCAAAATTAGCCGTGACGCTCTCGAAAACCATGACATTGAATGCTGGAAATAATTACAGACTCTTTGTTGTGCAATACTGGTTGCCATTGGCACTTAAATGACTTAATACTAGTGCCTTAAATCCGTTTCATTACAACTATATGCATGACTTATAACTATTGGAAAAAGCCATCCATGTTTAGATTTATACAATTATTGTGTGTTAACAATACTAAGGAATTATTTCAACTTGGTAAATATATTTTTGAAGCTAATAAGTTAAGAATCTAATTTATTTACTCCACTCTCTCACTGTGTATTGTGAGCCGTGTTATTGTGTATATTATGCATTGTATTGATATGTTTGTACTGATGGGCCGTAAGGCCGAAAGTTAATAAATGAATTGAATTGAATTGAATTGAATTATTAGTTCTTCCTATCTCATCAGGCACATAAACATTGATAAAAACGCTGAATTATACTTTATCAGGACCATTCAACTGGTAGCATAGCCCAAGTATCCTCTGGTCCCGACACTAGACTTGGACATGTTGACAAATAGATGTATGGTATGGTAAATTTGGAGATAATACTCAAGGCATTATTTTTATTAAAAGATAGGACCGATAAGTCTGTGTTTAAGTTTTATTTTATCAATTGGCTATTTTATATTACTATTAAAATAAAAGTTGGCGTGCTCGAATGTGTAGGGCGCCAGATAGAGTAATAATTTGTGTAACATAATATCATGATCCTTTTCGTACAATAACCCTCCAATAGAATAAATATTGAAAAAGTCACAATTAAAGGCCTCGATTAAGTTCGTATTAACCAAATGCGTCCCATTTATTTCTATCGGGTATAAAACAAACCTTGCCTAATGTATGACAGTTTGTTCTGTATAATAAATGTGCGCATACACCATTTGAAACAGAGATTGTATCGGTAACTTAATATTGTTTAAAGGGTTGGATCGTTAAATCTTCATATACGCTTAGCGTGCAGTGTCGCTTGACTTGGTGCAATATGTCTTTCTGAAAAGAAGGTATTTATGTTAACGAGGTACAATGTAAGACGACCTTACAGGGTTTATTTAAATGTCTGGCATGTTGCGTATTGTGTCGGATACAAATCGGCAATGCGCTAATAGCCTGCGTTTATTCAGCGTAGACACATATGTACACACAATATGTATAAATCAAGCGTGCAGTCAGCCGGGTAGTTTCATTACAACGTGCTGTACATTCCAACGCATGGCTATCTGGTTGTTTATTTTTTATTCTTGTATTTTAACGTTAGAAAACGGAGTATTGTTGAAGGTCTCATTTTCTTTCTGTGGAAATCTTTAAATGTTTCTGCTCCTGTATTGATATTGGCGATGTTTGTTGCGGACAAAGACTGACGTACAGATAATTATATACACGTATAAAGAAAAATTCTTAACAACACGTCTTTAGCGCGTTCGTCTCATCAAGGAGGTTCTTCGGACTGTTTATTTGAAGCAGAAAGATATCACAGCAATACAAATACATAATGATGGTCTAATAATAGAGTACTATTGGTTTAAGATTTAGTGTAACCAGTATTATTAGTATTACATATTATATAATATGTTTGTATTTCCACTATACAATTGTCTGTAAATGCCGTATCTTGTATCTCACTTAAATTCTTTAAATTAACGTGAAGTACATGAAACTCGTGCAGAATAACCCATAGCCCAAAATAGTTTAAAATTATTATAATGCATAACCCAGTTTGCATGTTAACTATAATGGGGCATTTGATTAATATTTTAACAACTCTTACATTCTTTGCAAATTCTTGATTATACCCCAAATGCATTATATGTCACCACTTCGATAAATTCTTTTCCATAATAACAACAGCAGTACAAAAATACTTTGAGCACAAGGTATTTTATATTATACAAGTTTGCCGAATAGTATCAAACCAAACCCGACAGATTTGGGAATAAACAGGGGGTCAGCAAAAACGATTAAAATAGAATATGCACGAACCTCCCAGATGTCGACCCCCTATTTTTTATGAATATACATATACTTATTAGTTCAGAGAAGAAGACTGTAAGAAGGAAAATATGTTGGAAATCGCATTAAATAGTCTCACATCACACAAGTCAACAGTGTTTTGTTTCGAATGTTAGCAGACACATTAAAGATGAGCTACGTACCTCGGAAACCGACGAGTCAATGCTGACGCAGCGCTGTACGCCATCACTGGTGTGACAAGAAGATAGGACAATGTTGACCCTCTCGACAGGCAGGTTGATCGCAAATTACATCAGCCATTACTATACGTGTAAAAAACGCATGCGCAGATACTCATTCCAAAAATTGTATTAATAGCTCTACGAGTAGTTCCTCAGGTCATAATTAGGTCATCCACAAGGGTACGTTGTTAATTATCTTAACGAGTCCGGCAAACGGCAGCTGTACTTGGTATGGGAGTTAATCGGTAGCCGCAGAGTTGCGTATTTTTTTAACCGGAAATGAAGTATGTGAAAGTGAAAGAAGAAGTTCAGTGTCAACAAATATACGACTAGTTGTAGCGGGATTTACATTATTTTAAAAAGAAATAGGCGGTATATAGGGGTTAGTGGTGGAGAAAGGGTTATTAATATGTATTTCACAACGGAAGGAAAATAATTCCTGCATTTATAACTTACTGTTTAGTCATTAAAATGTTTAGATCTGTATATTACGTCTTCCTCGATTTTCTTTTATTTTCAGTAATTTTATTAAATTGAATTACTACACCTACAAAAACGATAAGATGCCTTTGATAGCGGGTTCCCGAATCCAAACACTCAAAACAATGCTTGTAAAATTACTTATGGAAACTCTTTTTAACAATGAATTTATGTGGATTAAATGTTTATATTATCGCAGACATATTACATCAATTTTCACAATTATTACGCATGCAATTCACAAGAATTTAAAATAACAAATTTACTTAAGGTTATGGACATTTATTTATTGTTTCAGATTGGCAATACACAAGTACTTACTTTCACAGACTCCTCTTCAGTGTCAATAATTACACCTGTATTTACTATTACAGACAGGTTATGAATTTTTAATCATTGCTTCAGACTGGTTATAAATTTGTGTAAACTTTCACAGACATGTAACAGAAAAATAACATTGTTTAAAACTGCATGATTATACATGTGGATTTAATTATATTTATTATCATCGACATGTTTCGAAAACTTATCACTTGTTTCAGACTGGCTATAAATCTTGTATTACTCTCACAAGTAAGGTTATCAATTTTTAATTATTGTTTCAGGCTAGTCATAAACTTGTGTTAACTAGCTATCACAGACATGTAAGAAAAAATATATTGATTGCTTCGACTGGTTATAAAATTATAATTATCATAATTTTCACATACATTATGAGGAACTTTCATTAATTGTTTCAGACTGTTTACATACATATATATTTACTATCACAGAAA